AAGGAAGTATTGAAAACACATACAAATGGGCATTTTATTTTTTGTTAAATAAGGCGGCCAGCAATCACAGCTTGTACATTTTTCTCGTGACAAGGGTAATCTTTTAATGTTCTCAATTTGCATGTTAAAACAAACAGTGGCATTACAAGGATTGTAGCGCTATGCCCTTGTACCTGTTCCTTATGGAACCCTAGGACTCTAATGAATAAAGTCACCTGGCTTTTAGTAGTCAATTAGGTTAGCAGGTTGTGGGCCAATTACATGTTCCTATTTTAAGTGGATTACCATCTCCTGTTTTATGATATTTAATATCAGGGCCATTTGGCTATAAGAAGGCCATATGTTTTGTTAAAGGAGACAATGAATGGCAGCAGGCATTGAATAGCAAGGTACAAATAAATAACCCAAGGCTCCCAAATTCTTCCAGGTTTACAGAGGCCTCAACCCTCCACTCGTTATGATGTTACCGATTTGTTTCAGTAGGAAAACAAATAGAAATAGATGCATCTATAAATACTAAGCTAAGCAGCCATGCCAGAGTAGTTAACCCCCCTATTGTATCGTGTAGCTGTATTCTGTATAAGATTGCTCCATTGTGAGACAATATTTAGCTTGGGTTGAACTGATCTGTAAGGACTACATATTATGTGAGCAGTTGTTCCTTCATTTAATCGCTTTGTATATATGGAGAGCTGAATTTATCCAGCAGATATATTCCCAGAAGGTGTCTTTACTAGAATTGGTGTAACCACTGGTCCCAAATAATGCAGCAAACAGGTTGATATAATGGGCTGAAGCTGGTTGTCAATATAGGGGAAGAGCTTTATTTTTCGACCAGGACAGTGGTACTTTAAATTGAATCTGTTGGCAGGCTATGAATATTCAAGTATTTACACTTTGGAACAATTCATCGTTGACATTTACAGCAGAAGAACTGAAGTAGTTTTTCTTAGCAGCTGGGCTGGGAGGACAACTGTGGGCAGCTTTAGTGTTTCTTCTGTGAACTGTGAGGATGAATTGTACCAGCTGCAGTTACAGAAGTCAATAAAGGGGTTGTATTAAAGCTCATCTACTGCTTGTCAGGAATGAGTAAATACTTGAATTCCTATAGCCTGGTCACAAGTATACTGCAAGTAAAGCCTTTCCAAGCAGTAATCATAAAGCTACCAGTCTAAAACTAAATTAAAAGCATTGCACATTTCCAATCATAAGGCTGTGTCTTCCAAAGCCAAGCAATTCGATTTAGAATTTCATTCTCTTTCTGTGAATTTCTAATGAGTGTTGGAATCCAACTGCGTGTTATGAGCAACAGATTTCTGAAGACAGTTCTTCCCTTAGCCACATTTAAAAAAAAAAAAAAAACAAACAAAAACAAAAAACACACAACAGGGTTTTGGGGATAACATGTTAAAACAAGGGTACAGAGCAAAAGAAAAACTGATCTTATCAATGACAGCCAATTGGCAAGGCGGTGTGGTAGCTACAGACAACACCATCATACACTTGCAGGCATTGGAAATACACTTAGTAGTCCCATAGTTTACTTACTCGGACTCGGTTTAGGTCCTTCACTTTCTTGTACAGTGCTGGGTTTTCAGTCTGCACATTGAACTGGTGACTGTCCCAGATTGTGTCCACGATGCTCTTAGCAAAGTTGCTGACATAGTATTTACTGAAATTCCATTTAGAGAGAATGCGACCTGGAATGGAGCTCTCAGTGTAACTGTGACAGCAGTCACAGAAGTATTTTCCCAGGTAGTCACAATACCGCAGCCTATTGGTGTACCCTGGAAACAGAACAAACGTTACTGCGCAAATGTCACCTGCTTGTAAAAAACAAACAAGGAGGCTAATTTCTATAACCTTCATATGATTACCCTACCTGTATAAAACACAGAGTACAATACGTATTAACAGTGTTTACCATCTTTTAGAGTGCAGTCTGCACTCTAACTTGAAACCCATGTTTGCCAAGTACCAAACGCGCAAGTAACCCAAGATCCGTTACACTTTTATTATTAGTATCTTCAACTTATAAAATGATTTTCAGAAAAGGAAAATAAATACTTACAAATATAGTTTATCTGCTTAATATAAAATAGTACAAGTACTTTGCCTAAACCAACCAGAAGCATGCCATGAGATACACATACAAGTGGGTGAGAATCAGTGCTTTAGATAATTCCATTTACCTGAAATCACATGCAAGAAATTCTGGTTTATTTAACTGAAATAGCCAACAATAACTGGCACAATGTTTTGTCAAAGTGTGAATTGTTTTCAGAATGTTGAAAAATAAAACTGATATTTTATGTAGCAGTGATGGTAGGATCACATTAATATACGGTTCTGCTTACACATTCACAGACAAGATGCCCATGTTTAAAGCAGTGTGTCCAATTTGAGCATTGCTTGTGACAATCAGGCTGTGTATTGATTCTATACTGGGACCTGTGCTTCCAAGTGTGGAAAGAACTCGCCATCACAAAGAGATTTTCTAACTTGTAGGAAAATCTGTGTGTAAGTGGGCACCAGCTACTTTAAAGCATTTTGCCTCCGGCTTCAGCCCCTCTCCCCGGCTGCCTCCGGCTTCAGCCATGCTCCCTGGCCGCAATCCTGCTAATCTGCATTCTTATTCCTAGTCATAAAAACCGCAGAAAATACTAAAGCTATTTGAACAGCATGAAATCCAGGCAACTAGCTTTTTTTTTTTTTTTTTAAAGCCAGCAATGGTAGCCCCTGCATTCTCTCTGGCATTTTTCTCAGGTCCTGTTGTAAGACTACACCACAAGAGCTACGGATTCTTCCTAAACCGAGGTCATTTCAAACCGAAGCAAAAGTCTCATTCCTTTATTTGCTTGGACTGAAAATACAATGAGGAGGTGGATTTACCTCTGTAAAGCCTAACCCCTTTAAAATCAATAGGGCAATAACTCTGCTGTGTTTTTTTCCTGAACTTTATATTAAATAGACACTCACTTGGCTCGACTTTTGTTCCACAGCCCGCACATAGATAGTTTTGTGATGCAACAATTACATCTCTCCTGAAAGACAAAAGTAACATAAATGGTTAAAGGTGGTTAGAGCATATGTGGATATACTTCAAACATATAACGTGAGTCAAAAAACTGGTTTTCAGGAACATGAGGCCATTTTGTCTTTTTCCTGGAGGTAGGAAGGCTTAAAAGCAAGTAACACTTGGCTTCATTTCTACAAGTGCCAAATTAAAAACTTACACATACCTCCACAGACAAAAGCCTGTAGTTCATCTGACCGAAAATAGCTGGCCGAAGGGATAATTCTTTCCTGCTAGAGCCTATTTTCACCATAACTGCTCTGATTTTACCAAAATGTCCAGTGTATTTCCAGTTAGAACATAGAATATGCTCAGCTATCTGTGTTTATGTTTTAATGCACAGTGGTAATATAGGAGACATGGGGATTATCTGCTACATGACGCAAGTCATGTGAAAATATTTACAATTTGAACCTCAGATATCCTGATTAGTACTCAAATACCATTTTGCATAGGTACGTTGCCCATATTCATATACTCTGAACTCTTTCACATCACACATTTCTTATCTCATTCAGCACTCTTTTCCTAGAAAGCATGGCTTCTTTTCCTAGAAAACATGACTTCACAGCCCACTAGGTCAACAGATCACATGACTCTGAAGGGGAAAAATGTGCCACATTAGCAGGAGCTGCATATCTGACTAACGCAAATCATCACACTTTATGACCTGTTTTTAACCTGCCAAAACAATGACACAGAGGTACCCCTATCACAAATGCAAATAGAGCAAAGGGCATTGAGACTTGCAGGTGTTTTTTCAGCAAAAATTTTCTCAGAGCTTATAGGACTGGCTTTGTAGAAGCTGGAAGTGAAATAAGATGGAAAATGGTAGGTGGTTGCAAGACTAGGCCTGCCATGAAGTGGTCATTGTGTGCTAAAGTCACAAATGGCCTCAATAAATAAAGAGTTCTAAATTCCTAAATGCAGATCTTAGAATTAATTTAATGAAACTAGACCTGTAAAAAATTAATCCATTCATATATGAAGCTTCATTCCTGACAGTACTAGATCTCACAATAATAGGTGGGTGCTCAAAAGTGATGGTGTTGATGGCACCACGCCAAAACCAGATCAAGTAATGTAAAAAGGGTGAAGTCACCAGCACTCTAGACATATCATTTCAACTCACAAATGTATTATGAAGAACATATATATAGCAATGTTTTCAAGCCTTGCAGGGTCCCCTTCTCAAGGCAACATAGAGTGACGGTCACTCTTTATTACCTTGAGAAAGGGTGCTCTGAAGATTTGTGACCGCAGCTTTTTTTGCCAATAAGGCAACTTTTTTTGCAGATCTTACAGTTTTTTCTAAGTCTGCTTTTAGATCCCAAACAAGTTTTTAGGTTTAGGACAGGTAAATACAAATGCCTTCAACAAACACCTGGAAGACCGATTACCAGCCATATCTGCATTTTTTTTTTTTTTAACAGTAAAATCACCTCAAGGTAAAAGCACAGTTTTAGCGACCTCAAACCACACCTTCCAAGAATCTTTTCAGCATCCTCAAGCTATTGTGTGACAAATTGTTCGGAAAAAACCTAAACCAGACACAACAAATCCTATGCATTTGTCCAGACAATAATCCTTTCTGTGGGAAAAATTAAATTGGGCATCCCACCCCCATAATTATCAGGGACATGTTAAAAGGATAAACAAAATCAGCACTTTCCTCAGCATTTCCTCTCTGGTATGCCACAGATGAGCAGACCAGAAAAAATGGGCTCCATGGTCTATTCTTCCACAACTCCTATTTTTCAAACCATGTTCCGCTATTCCTTTAGGGCACCCAAAACATCGTAATAAATTTACCATATCAGAGCAAGGAAAGCAGTTGACAGTTTTGTTAACAGTGAATAACACATCAATAAATACAGGAGACAAAAATAAATGTTGTGAATTTATAAGCCAAATGATCCAAGAGTAGTTTTATAGATTAAAGAGAAGAAAACATCATGTTTTATTCCATAGAATAAAGCATTACCATCTCCTATTCTAGTTTAAATAATTTGTAAGTCAACTGCTTCAATCTAGAACAAGTGACTTACAAGTTACAATTAAAAATCGGCATAAAATTGTATTAATGATAACAAGTGTAAACTGAAAGTGTATAAAATGTACAAAAACTTACTTGACGTATGTATGTACAGTGCTAATGATGTGAAACCGTGGAGACCACTCTTCTGTGTCCCTTATCCTGAACTTCTTTATCTCCTCCACAAGACTTACACTGGATTCAAATTCCTCCGCTCTGGGATGGTTACCAGCCAACTAGAAGAAATGAGAATGTAATGTATTTGTTAAAAAATAAATCAAGGCAACTGGCCTTTCTGTATTTTTTCTTTAAGACATTTCGCTGGTTAACCGACCAGCTTTCTCAGTTAAGAATAACTTGTACAAAAGTTGCCTGGGAATAAAATATGGTAAATGTTGCTCCAATCAACATAAATTTGTTAAACAATATGTTGATATAATTTGCATAATTGGAGCTAGCAGGTGTTATTAACCCACCCAGAGTAAAACATCTATTGTCTTCCACATACATTGTGGTTTTAAGATGTCTGGGCGGGTTAATAACATCTGCTAGCTTCAATTATGCAAATGTACACACAATGTAAATGCAAACACTTCATCGGTATGTTTGATTAAGGATTTATTAATATTTATTGAACATTTCTAACTTGATCTCTCCTTTGGGAAACTGTTGAACTGGTGATTTAGTTCAGCTTCAATTGAGGCATTGCACACAAGTTGATAGCAACCTCAGATCAATAATAAGCTATTTATACACAAACAACATATTTCGCAGATTACAAAGACCCCTGAACCATACACATCTCTCCCCTGTGCATGAAACAGAGCTCACAAATGTCCCCAACAGTCATACACACACTCTAGGGCAAGTCTGTGTGGAAACCAATGCACCTAACCAGCATCAAGCAATAAGAGAGAGCACTGGAATGTCAGATGAGATAATATATAATCTGGGAGTATAATCTTGCAGGGAATGTCCACATTAATACAATAAGGCTCCATTCACACATAGTGGTAGCATTTTCCGCGTGGAACGAAACCGTGCAAACGTTAACCGACGTGCAGATTCCGCACGCTTGCGGCTATTACTATAGCTGGAACGTGCGGAATCCACCCATTAAATCACGCTTGGACTATATTGCAGCTCCCGCGGTTTTAGTGCCGGGCGGATACTGCAATAGTCTGAACAATGCACATTGAAATGCCTTGTTTTTTGTTTAGCGTGGTTGTGCGCGTATTCGTATGGCAAAATACATGTGGAAAACCGCTCATGTGTGAATGGAGCCCAAGACATGCTCAGACATAACTATACAGTACAAGAAGAAACGCTCTGATGTTGGTTACCCTTTTGTCTGTGTATACTACCTCAGCTGTGATCCTTCTCGGTAGTGGAGCTTCCCCATCAACCTGCATCCATTGCTGTCGGAAAGCTCGGTATAAATTCCTGGCAGTGTGTTCAGCAGAATTTAATCCCTCTGAATGGTGTCTGGAAAATAAAATGTTGATATGCAATAGGTTGATGAATCAGTTGAAATTATATTAAAAGGGTTAATTGTATGGACGCTATATAAAATGAAAAATAAACACACATACAATAAAAATAGGAAAATAGTTGTATTGATATAAATAATTCAGACAACACTATGGGGTTGATTTACTACAGGAGTAAAGACTATTTAATTAGCTTAGTAAATAACATGAAGCCATGCTCTTATTATTACCCAATTATGTTTTAACAAAAACCATACCAAAGATTCAGCAAACAGGCCTTTTTTTTTTATAAGCACTTCACCTTCATTACATCAAAACGGAGCTGTGGATGTACCCTAAAATTCAACCCAATGCTTGATGCATGTTCCAGACACTAACTACCATCACAATTTGTGTATAATGAGATAATATATTGCATATACCTTCTTTCCGGTAATACAGAAAAAGGAGCACTTCTTGCTTTCAACAGAAGCACTGAAGGGCTACTTCACATATTCACCTCTACCCCCATAGGGAGCATGGCCTACCTCCCTCTCTCTACTCCTTCACAGTTTTCTATTCCCTCCTTTTTGAGTTGAGTGAGTTCTCTTGTAGATGGTACAAACTCTTCCTGTTTGGACTGTTTAGCATCCCCTGTCCCCATTCTCAGATCTGTCCCTTGGCAACGCTCCCACAACCCCCCCC